TGCGGCGGGAACAAAGGAGCCGCCCTTGGTGTCTTCAGTGGGAACAGGGAGGGAGAAAAGGGGGGAAGAGGGAAGGAAAGAAAGAAAGAGAAGGAAAAGAAAAAGAAAGGAAGAGTCAATAGGTGAACACGCTGTAGATTTGCTCATTCTGCCGATGTTCTGTGCGATCGCATCCTAGGTTTTCATTCCTTGTACACCTTTGGAAGGATCTCACTATGACAGGGCAGAGTCTGAAGGCTTTATCGGAAGCGAATTTTGAAGACAATGAGATCAGCATCAACGTCGGAGGCTTTAAGAAAAAGATGAGATCCAACACATTATTAAGGTTTCCTGAGACCAGGCTGGGCAAACTGCTGAGCTGCCACTCAAAGGAGTCGATACTGGAGCTCTGCGACGACTATGATGACACCAAGAATGAATTTTATTTTGACAGGAATCCCGAGCTCTTTCCTTATGTGCTACATTTTTATAACACCGGCAAGCTCCATGTGATGGGTGAACTCTGCGTGTTTTCTTTCAGCCAGGAGATTGAATACTGGGGAATCAATGAATTCTTTATAGACTCCTGCTGCAGTTACAGCTACCACGGGAGGAAAATGGAGCCAGACCAAGAGAAATGGGAAGAACAAAGCGACCAGGAAAGTACCACATCTTCTTTTGATGAGATTTTAGCATTCTACAACGATGCCTCTAAATTTGACGAACAACCCTTTGGAAACATCAGGAGGCAGCTCTGGCTTGCTTTGGATAACCCTGGGTACTCGGTCTTAAGCCGAATCTTCAGTGTCCTTTCAATAGTGGTGGTGCTGGGCTCCATCGTGACCATGTGCCTGAACAGCCTCCCAGACTTTCAGATCATTGACAGCGACGGGAACCCTGAGGAAGACCCTCGCTTTGAAATCGTGGAACATTTTGGTATTGCATGGTTCACTTTTGAACTGGTGGCGAGGTTTGCAGTAGCTCCTGACTTTTTAAAATTTTTCAAGCATGCCCTGAATTTGATCGACCTCATGTCTATCCTTCCATTTTATATTACCTTAATTGTCAACTTGGTGGTGGAAAGTAGTCCAACATTAGCAAATTTAGGCAGGGTTGCACAAGTCCTGAGACTCATGAGGATCTTTCGCATCTTAAAGCTTGCCAGACACTCCACAGGTCTCAGGTCTCTTGGAGCCACCCTGAAGTACAGCTACAGAGAGGTGGGGCTTCTTTTACTTTACCTCTCTGTTGGCATCTCCATTTTCTCAGTAGTGGCTTACACCATTGAGAAGGAAGACAATGAGGGGTTAGCCACCATCCCAGCTTGTTGGTGGTGGGCTACCGTTAGCATGACCACAGTTGGCTACGGGGACGTTGTGCCAGGGAGCACTGCCGGCAAGTTGACAGCATCTGCATGCATCCTAGCCGGTATCCTAGTGGTAGTGCTTCCCATTACACTGATTTTCAATAAATTCTCCCACTTCTATAGGCGTCAGAAGCAGTTAGAGAGTGCCATGAGGAGCTGTGATTTTGGTGATGGCATGAAAGAAGTTCCGTCGGTCAACTTAAGGGACTACTATGCTTATAAAGTTAAATCCCTCATGGCCAGTCTTACCAATATGAGCAGGAGCACTCCCAGTGAGCTGAGCCTGAATGACTCGCTGCATTAGTGTACAAGTTTGACAGCAGTTTGCATGAGAGCTATCCAGAGCTATGTTTGTAAATGTTTTCCTATTAGTCTTCTTTTTTCCTAGAGGATCACGTTGCTGACACTGCACTAACTTTGCACTTGAGAAACTAAAGACTGTTTGCACATTTCCACCCCATTGCATAGGTACTGAGTGCTGACTTCTCCATACACGTGCCCCCATTGCCATGACGTCGGTGCTGGCGGTATAGTGATGAGCTGTTGCTTTGTGCATTTCCTCATCTAGGCAGAGAAACGAACGTACCCCAGTGGAATAAAAATTCTTAGCTGTGACATGAGTAATGAAAAAATCACCTATCACCTCTGCTGGTATCTGTACCAGTGTAGGGCTTCCCATGCATTCTACAGCAGTTTAAAATAATCACCTGTGAATCAGTGAGATGGGAATGCTCTTCCCCATCTTTCTGACTGGTAATTCTGATCATCAGATGTCTGAAAACACCTCTGAGCTTCACACTTCAATGGAAGTTTGCTTACTCTTGAGCATGTCTGTTAAAAATTGGGTGTTCTTGTTCTGAAATGCAGTGTTTGGTAACATTTTTCAGATACTCCTAAGCATAAACCTACCTCTGCTTCCAGGGTTAGGTCCGTACTGAGCCCTCTGAAGAAGCCCACTCCTCATTTTCAGATAGCTACATATTCAAAGACTCCATTTCCACAAGTGACGCTAGGTATGAAGGCCCACGAATACATCTCAGGCTCCCATTTCCAGAAGTGACCTGCACACAGCTTGGTTCCAGTGAAACTGAAGATTGGCTGTATCTCAGTCCATCAAAATGGTTCTGAGATTAGACACACAAAAACGTGGGTTTGCAACAACTAGAAGCTCCAATGAAAAACGTGGAAATGTTTAATGAAGCAAAATATTCCTACATGAACAGTAAAGGCAGCATTTTAGGAACTGACAATCATATAGTGCAAAAAGGCTAATTATAAAGATGCCATATGTGATGCTGAGATATAAAATCTAATTTTATCCAGAAAGCTTGAAAGCAGGTGTTGATGGCAGACAACTCCATTAAGCTTTCTGCCAAAGAAACCCTAAGGAAAAAAAACAAACCCTGTAAGTCACATTTTCCCTCAGAAAGGATCTCACAACTTACAGCTAAGGAGGAGTATAAGGGCCTAAGAAAGCAACAGAAAAAGAGCTTCATATTGCAGTCTCTTTGGGCAGATGCTCCCACCTGCTTCTGTGACATACGTAGTTTAAATCCTTTCAAGGGCTGGCCTATATGTTTGGGGTTTTTTTTAGAAGATGTGAGCTAGCAGATCATCTGAGTGTTGAAGAGTGATCTTGAATCTGTGTAAACTTATTTTTTGAGTGCTCAGTCTCTTCCCTTACACAATTGTATAGAGATCAAACAATTGTAGGCAACAGGCAGAGGCTGCTGCTTCCCACTTGTTACCCTTTGAGGGATCTGTTCTATGAAACAACCTACGGGCACTCAGTGGGTAGAACAGCATTCCTTTCCAGATTCTGCTGCTTTTCCATCCCATTTATCACATATAATGTCCCAATTTGATTGTTTGTTTTGTTTTACTTGTGAAGACTAGAGAGGTTCAGAAAACAAATTCAAACTAGTTAGAAGAGACATTAAAATACCAAATCGAAAATTGTCATGTCTGGAAGCCTGCATTTACATATCACAGAAAGCAGTGACCCAACTGGCAGAATAAAACAAATATAGTACAAATAGGTAATTCCATTTTTTATACTATGAGAGGTTGCTGTCGGGTCTCAATCTTTTGATGTCATTGCTCTCTCAGCTCCAGCTAAAACCACAAAGCTGAGCACCTGGGATCTGATTCCTCTTTGCCCAGAATCAGCCACAGAATACACTGTGTGAAATAACTTACACACACATACACCCACACACCCCGTTTCCTTTGAGCACTCTTACCTCACGTCAGTTGGTAGCTGACTTAGGCCATGAAGTGTGAAAGAAATGGGTCCTTTCTAACCATACCAAATAAAACTCTTGGAGATTTCCACGTAGCCTGCACAAGTTATAAAGACAATAGGCAAGGTGTTGCTTGTGGTCCCTGAAAATCGAAGATATATATACACATGACCCTGAAGGTAGACCTAGGTAACCCAAAAATAAGGTGTCCAAACATGAAACCTTTTGCTGAGGTTTTCAGTTCTGGAGGGCTGGTTCAAGTTCTCTGCTGGGTCACAGGCGTAAATTCAACAGTCTTGTCCCTGCTTCATATTGCATATGTATGAAGTACTACCCGCTGCAAACCCCCACCCAAAACAGCACAGCACTGTTGGATTGAGAAGCCACGAGAGAGGTAAGGGGTAGATGGGCTTGCACAGCACATCCACTCCACCCGGGTTACATGCAAAGGTGGCAGACTCTCCCACTGATGTCAAGGACACTGCCAGTTCTTACTAGGTCTGTCGGTTGGGGGCCTCCAGAGAGTCCAGCTCTGAGTAGTGTTTATTTCAGTTTCACAAGCAGTAGATTCACAGAGTTGAAAGCCAATGACTTTCAGGGCAGTTATTTGAAGATACCTGTAAACTTGCCAAAGAGTCACAAATTCCCTCAGCTGTTGCTAGTTTAGCATTGCAAAAGCTGGATCCAAACTTTGCAACACATCATTTCAATAACCTTTAGCTTATCTTATGTTCTAGATTTATTATTATTCATTTGGCTGATGCTCTGTCATTTCTGCAAATATTGAATGGAATGTGTCCAAATTGTGTTTTACTAAAGAAAATGAAATACCCCAAGGAACTATGACTTTTATTGTACTGGTTGAAAGGAATTTTCATTATTGCTTTTTTATATAAGTGCTTTGGATCAAAGACACTAAATAAATAAAGTACTGAAATTTAATATGTTCTTAGTATCATGACAATGACTTTACACAGGACACAGGATTTCTCTTCATAAACTTAACTAACTCCATGTTAAAAGTAGTCAGATTTCTGCTCCTCCCTCCTCCACAAGAGCATTGTAGAGCTGCTCTACTCTCCAAGCCTTGTGCAGCTTTCAGCACAATTTTATTAATGGCTGCTTTATATCAGGTTGTTTTTTTTTTTTTCCTCATGCCACCGCTGTCCTTTAGCCTTAATATTTCATTTTCCTCTAAGTGTCTGCATGCATGCTGTATATAAATACATAGCAACCATATGCCCTTGCATGCTTATTTTCACAGGATTACACCTGCCAAGTTTCCTTTTAGTTTTCTTTCTGCAGTTCATGCTCCCCTGACCATCCCAGAGGATGTAGCCTTCTTTTTTCTCTGTTACTTCTGCTTCTATTTAATCTGTTTGGGCCAGCATTGTCCAGTACTGTATGGCTTTGTACAGCAGTTTTAATATTTGCTTAGAAGTAACACATTTTTTCACTGAAGAGGAGAACAACTGCTTCAGTTTAAGTAATGTTGTCTTAGTTGCCCCAAAATATCTAGGTAGACAAGACTGAGTCACACCCATCCTGTCAAGTAACCTCTGTTCTAGGGCTTAGTCCAGTAAGGGCTGAGAATCCCCACCTCTCAATAAATAAAAATTATAGAAAAACTGCTTACACTCTGAAGGAAAAATTCAATCTCTCCAAAGCCTCAGTGAGGCAAAGAGGTGGTGTACTCCTTGAGTAGTCAGGACTTCAGTCAGACTTCTTCAATCCCTGTTTTGTGGGAGCAGGGCATCTTCACTTCTGTAACACAGCAGGTCAGAAGTGAAGGATGAGAGGAACAATGGGCTGCTTGCTCCAGTGTCTGAAACCTGAAAAATTGTTGTGGTCCGAAACCCACTCACTGTGGATGTCCAGCTTAACGAAGAACATTGCACTTGAGATGTGCTCCTCTTGCCTTGTGGTGGTCACCTTCCGGGCGCCAGTGAAAACACTGCTCCAACTCTCTCTCAGCTGAGAGCTTTGAATTGCTTAAATGGTTATGGTAATATTTCAAATGAGGCAACTTACTTTATTGCCAGGAATAATCTGTTAGAGAGTCATGATTTCTAGTACACATATAGGCTATTACGGGAGTTAGAGATGTCCTTGAGAAGCAACATACTACATTATTTTCCTGAGATGCAAAATCTATATATAGACCGTGATTAAGCTTTTTATGTACGTTCAGATTTTGTATTACTGCCTGGTTTATTATTTACTTTCATCAGTTACTAATTCTCCCTTTCCCTGCAGACTACTTTATTCATTTTGAAAGCAGAATGGTTTTTCTTCACATATTATACATAGCATGAGCTACTTCATGTTGCAAACTTAAAAAGAAAGAACTTTGCATTTCATTTTCCAACTTTAATACCTCCAGTATTTGTACCTTTTTGTACAGAACTTTATGAGACTGCAGGGAAGGACTGTATCTGGTGCTCTTTGTACCACATTTCTTGTCCCAGTAGTGTATAACGCACTCAAGAACTCAGCTTTATGCCACAAAATGGAAAATAAATGCATAAAAAAACCCAAAGTACCTTCCACCAGCGATTAAGAACTGATTTAGATTTCTGGATATTCTGAGTTTATATTATAAGCAAAGAGAAACCTGGATCTCATGATAAAGATAGGCTTCCTTTGAAGACATACATCAGGCTAGATTTCTGTTTTTAAAAACGCTCTTAATTGGTTGTGGTGGGGAACCCACATTTTTCTGTTGAGCAAATAGCACAAGCTTCTTGTTCTCTACCTCACAGATTAGGGACTAAGCAATATACCAATAGCACTTGTAGGCACTAAATCAACTTGACATGACCTTTAATCTCTTCCAAAACAACCCTCATCCTTAGAGGCCCCAGCTGTGCACATATAAGCAGGAGAAAGCCCCTGGAGTAACTGCTCTTGCTGTGCTAGTTATACGTTTCCTCTCACAATACTCCTGACTTTAATCTACCTTTGATGGTACTTTCAAACAACATTCAACCCACAGTCACCACTCATATCCCTCGGTGAGGTGTTGTGCCAGAGCCATTCTTTTCTCATCATGTTCTTCTTCTTTTGTTGTTCCAATTTATGCACCTGGCTTCTCATTAAGTTACAGCAGAAATTAATTTGATCTCCTGTAACTTATTTTCAAGTTGCCTACTATTTAGGTAGGACTAGAAAAATATTCCCATCCAGTTTCCGAAGCATCTTTTACTGATTCTGCCTTTTTAAGAAAATAAAAGAATAAAGATGCTTCTCACCTGGGAATATTTTACAGGGTTAACAATGCAACATCAGGCAATACATTATTCAAAGCAACAGTCCTCTGGTTAGCTGATTCAGAGACAGTTGTAATATCCATGCTTTAAAAGCAATCACTGAAGTCGTTAAGAAACATC